TCTTTTCTTTATCTTTGCCAGAAGATTTAAACTTTAAAAGCCTTGCCCTCATAATTTGCAAGTTAATTTATTTATAAAGAAAATATAAACGCTGCTTAAACAAATGTAAATGAAATTAAAAGTAAAATAAGTAGCCAACCTTATCCCTGTCTGTAACCTACTAACAAGGTAAGGAAAGCATCAGATGAGCTACCTGAGAAACTAACGTTACGTTTCCCCACTTTAAAACCAAACAAACATGGTTACTCATCCTGCTGATCAGCTCTCTTCACTGCCATCGAAGGCTCCAAAGTGTTTTCTTTTCAGGTGCTGCGTCATAACAGTGGTGCTTCCGTGCCATGTTAATTTATTTTGAAAAAAGTTGCATGTTATCACTTTTTTCACTTTACAAAGCGCAGGCTATTTTAATTATTGTGATCAATTTGCGCCGTCAATCCCGGCGCATGCGCGCTTCATTTGCAGTCTGGACGCTGAGGGTAAACTCCTCACTAAAATCCTGCGGCTCTGACTGCCGCGCTGAGAGGGATTCCTGTGGGAGAGGGAGAAAGGCGTTGGGATGGGGGAGGCGCCCCACGGCAGGCAAAAGCCGCCAGTGACACCGTAAAAAGTCGCCAGATTTGTCGCTAGTCGCTTTTTTGAAAAATAGTCGCTGGAGGGGTCTGAAAAGTCGCTGAGTTGGCAACACTGCAACTGCGGCGCTGACTCGCTCCGCCATATTTTTTTTTCTTCCCCCGGATGACGGCGGCGGCGGATGACGCATTAATCGCGCGACACAACTAATCGATGATTAAATTCGTTGCCAACGCTTTTAAAAGTCGATTTTTATCGATTTTATCGATTCGTTGTTGCAGCCCTAGTTTATAGATTAATTCCGTTTCTCCAGACTGGCGGTGAAACGCATATAGCTGAAGGGGAATCTGTCCTAGCATAAAACAGCACTAAGAGAGATGACTGGAAGCGCCAGTCTTTTAGTTCTACCGGCCAAAACTGGAGGCTGTCCAATTGAAAGCATAATAATATTTTTGTTGGTCAGTGAAAGCACAATAAGTGCGGCCATCTTATGATGAAAGTGCTCTTCTAAATGTGACCGAATAAGGAAGATACCGGGCTCAATTGATCCTTTTTTATTTTTTTTTATAAGAAAGCTAACCCTTACTTTCACTGTGGAATAGAAGCAACACCTGCCTTAAAGGGATAGTTCGGTATTTTTGACATGAATCTGTATGGCATCCCCATCACCAGCGGCATGCAATCACACTGACTTACCCCTGGCAGCGTCCTGTGAGCAGAGTTATCGTCCAGTTTTGGTCAAGCCGAAAGTAGTCCTGCAGGTTTTTAGGAACAGCGAAATAAAACTTTTCTCTTCCCAAAACATTATGTGTCGGCTTGACCAAAACTGGACGATAACTCTGCTCACAGGACGCTGCCAGGGGTAAGTCAGTGTGATTGCATGCCGCTGGTGATGGGGATGCCATACAGATTCATGTCAAAAATACCGAACTATCCCTTTAAGAGGAAGGTTTGAATAAAAATGTATTGTAACGAAAGGAAAATATATTCAAGTATGTGGTAAGACATCTTTTTGGTTACTAACAAACTTGCTCAATTTTATTTAGTTTTTCATGTTTTAGGTCTCTGTCTTTTATAAGTTAGAAATGGTGACAAACTATTTACAGGGTTTCTCTGGGTCATTAAAAATCATTAAATTATTATTTTTTAAATAAAGGCCTTAATTGGCATTAAAATTCATTAAATTTGATAATCGTGACATTAAAATGCTTTGAAAAAGAAGCTTGAGGTGGAGAAAATGCTAGAGAATGGGGGGAAAAATGCAAATTTGAACCAAAGTGGCGGGAAAACAAGGAAATTGGGACATGGCTGCAGCCTGTCCATGGTGAAGATGACGAAGGATTTTGCCGTGTATATATATGTGTATCTATATAGTACCCATGACTATGATATAAGTCATGGGTACTTGTTGATGGCATTAAGATTATTTCTAAGAGCATTAAAAAGCATTAAATAAGAGTTACTCATTCATGTATAAACCCTGATTTAAAATTTCAAGGTTAAAATAAACATCCTTTCTCTTTGGAGTCCACACAATCAATACAGTTTTAGTAATGTCTAATCTTATGTTAGACATTATGTTAGCAGTTAGCAATGCTAATTGCTAACATAAGATTATTAAAAACACCCTAAAATGAAGACTCATCTTTTTTTTTTTTTCCTTTTGTAAAGGTACAAAGCTACTGCTCTTACATTCAAAATAAACTGGAAACCAATATAACTGAATGTTTTTCTCTTATGTTGTCTTTTACTGCAGTTTAAAAAAGAATTCCTAATTGGCCAAACCTTGTATCAGTGGATCAAAGCTCCAATTGTTTAAACTCAAATTGAGTTCACATGATTGATATTTCTAATTAATTTACCAGTTTGTCTAATAGTTTTCATTTATTGTTTCCAAAAGTGTTAAGAACAACAAATCAAACTTAAAAATGGCACATTAGTTTCCATTTAGGTTGGAATAAGGAGAATATTGATTTGTGTCATAATTGAGATACTTTCTGTAAAACATCTATCAAAAAGAGCACAATTAAATTAAAGACTGAGAAGTCTTTTGAATATTTTTTCTTCAATGTTAGATTAATGTAAACATTTTTTGTCCCTTATCAAAGTTAAATCCCATTTAAAAACATCTATATTAACATTAATCAATCTGCTGTTGATTTTTTGCAAAAACGCTCCATCTATGTTTAGTAAGTAATTGAAAGGAAAGATTTTTTCCTCGTAGAGTTTTGTGGTTGCTAAATTGATAGCAAAACAACCATTTATCCAACAAATGCATCCAGCTGATTAAGTCTAAACCTCATGCTGCTGTTTTGATGAAGCTCTCAGGAGAAACACAAATTAATCTCATCAGTCTGGTTTGTTATAATGGAAGACAAAACATTTTAGTCAGCATGTAAATAGTCTGGCTGGATGGATGCAGGTAATTTCCAACTAAAACTAAAGGCAAGCAGCTGAACAAGCCATCAGGCTTTCCTGGAAGCCTTATTAATTTCTAATGTCAGCCAAAAGCATTCTGGAAAGTTTTTGTATTTATTTTTATCTGACTGCGATAATGAGAGTGGCTGCATGGCTTGTTGTTTCTCCTCTACCTCTAAAACCATTATTATGATGCACAAGAATTTATCAAGCAATTAAAATAGTAATTTAACAGAATTGTGGTTCAGACCTCTTCAACAGACAGACTGAGACCTGAACAGAAAAGGGCAATTACTTTACTGGGTACTTTACTGAGAACAAGAAACGTGGAGGGCTAAATTTTACATATAAAAACATACATTTTTGATATTGAACAAGACTTTTAGCTCTCATGCTGGTGTGATTTCCCTTAGACTGGGTGTATAAAAAAAAAAAGAAAAAAAAGACTTGGTGGAAATATAGTGAATTTCCTTTTCAAGGCCTGGGATCTAATTGCAAAGCTAAATATCAATTTAGAAAGGGACAAGGTGGGTCAGGTAGGGCAAAAAAAAATAGTTGTTGTTGAAAGTTTAAATACGCTTCCATTAAAGACAAAGAAACATCAGCTGCCCTTGAGATTGACTTAATTTATAAGAAATAAATTTTGTCAATTTCAAACCATAGCGAAATTACTGTGTATGTGTGTTTTCTGTAGTGTTCGGAAAGACTTCTGCACCTGTTTACAGATATTTTAGTTCACTGTTCATCAGCTAGGTACTTTTATTTTTTTTAACCCCTTTTTTTTTCCCAAGAGCATTTTTTTTTTTTTTGTCAAATTCAGTATTTTTTACTAAATTATCATTTTGTACGTTTTTTTTTTTTTAAGGCAGCAGTGTAATTCTGAGAATAATTATGGGGTATATTAATGATTTAATCAGGCTGTTATCATAATCAACTGGTGTTATATTTGAATCAGTGTTTTTTGTTTAGTTTTACACTCTCTGCCATGATAAAATATAAATAAATCTATGAATATCACCAGGTGGTAATCTGTTTTCCCTGCTCTTGTAGCGTTATGACGAGGATTCGGTAACTGCAGGAAGATCTGTGAGGGTGACCGCAGCTCATTGTTGCCTCTAAGCTAATGAAAGGATTAAAGCTACCTGGTTTTTAAAAATTGGGCTTAAAGAAGTTTGTTTTACATCTCAGGAAATAATGGAAAGGCTGAGATATTGTTTGTCAGTGATGAGTCTCAGAGTTCTTGCAGGAAATGTAAGTTGCATCTGCAGAGATGCAAGCAAAGGCGCATTATTGCACACGTGGTTATCAACAGGTGTGGTTGGTTTGTGTACAGATGTTCTGCTCTCTGCAGACATTTGGTGGTCTCTGTTTTTCCTTTGCACCTGGCAGTGAAATAGAAACTCTGAAATTCTAATACTTTTTCCTTTTTTGAAAAAATGAGTTTTGTAGATGTGATAATTTTACTAAGAAAGCATAATTGAGTAATACTGATGTTAAAATAGACAACAAAAATTGAAACTTTGCTTTGTTAATCAATGCATTTGTTGAACAATTTCCTGTTATAAAGCTCACTAATGTTCAAATTTAGTAAAGGCAAGTTCTTCTTCTGTTCATCATATAGAATTATCATGCACGGAAAAACTATTAAAAAAATCAAGAGTTTTATGGAGTATGAAATCTAAGTTTCTAAGACAGACCCTGTGACCTTTTTATCAACAAGAATCTCTTCCTGCTGGATAATCTGGTTATTAGAGGGAGAATTGGACTCTTTGAAATGTTTTTTGTAACCTAGAAGCTTCTTAATCATTTGCAGTTCAGCTAAGGGTGGTTGAATGAGGATTTGATTTGGTATTTTAGTTGTTTCTGGTAAATAGCTGTTGCTTTCAAAGCTTCTCCCATATTTTTTGGTACATATTTGCATTAGTTTTAGTGTATATACATCTTTTTTTGTTCAGGCCTTTCCCCATCACTCTTGCTTAAATATATGTGTATGTTTTTTGTCTCTTGCTCAGCAGCCTGCTTTCAAATCAAGCACCACCTCCAGAGAAGCAGCCATGGGCAAACAGAACAGCAAGCTCCGTCCCGACGTCATGCAGGACCTTATGGAGAACACGGACTTCACCGAACACGAGATCACAGAGTGGTACAAAGGCTTCCTGCGGGACTGCCCCAGCGGCGCCCTCACCATGGAAGAGTTCAAAAAGATTTACGCCAACTTTTTCCCGTATGGAGATGCCTCAAAGTTCGCCGAGCATGTCTTCCGCACCTTTGACGCCAATGCCGACGGGACCATAGACTTCAGGGAGTTCATAATCGCCCTCAGCGTCACCTCCAGAGGCCGGCTGGACCAGAAGCTGAAGTGGGCGTTTAGTATGTACGACCTGGATGGGAACGGATACATCAGCAAGGCGGAGATGCTGGAGATAGTAACGGTAAGAGATCAGCTCATCATAGGTAGGGTTGGGAATTGAAAAGATTTTCACGATTCCGATTCCCTTTTCGATTCTATGAAATGATTCGATTCTTTATCGATTCTTTTTTCGATTCCAATTTGGGGGAAAAAGGAGAACAAACAGTTTGATTATCAGAATCAACTTTGTTTACTTAACTATTGCACAATCTTACAAACTCAACAAGATCAAGATGTCCACAGGAAATGTGAAACTGGAGTAACATCTGTGTTTAAATGAAAAATAAATATACAAGAACAAACTTAATAACCAACAATGTCTAATAACAAATGATGGGATAATAACCTATTTTAAATAACAAAAAATACTAATTATAAAACAGTAGTAGGAAAAATTAACAGTTCTTTTGCAGAAAGATGAGCATATCTGCTTTTTCTGGAAGAATACGGGATCTTTCAGGGCTTATGGTGTCTCCAGCCGTGGAGAACACCCTCTCAGATGGGGTGGAGGAAGCCTGCACACAGAGGTAGTTTTCAGCCAGTCAGATAGCAAGGGCAGCGTATCTTGCTTGTTCCACCACCACAGTGTGGCGCTATCCCTGCAGGGGATGGAGGGCAAGCTTTTATAGAGCTGGATTTCCTGATCTACCCTCTGGGCTAAGGAAAGACGGGGCTTTGATTCACAAAGTGACCGCAGCTCGTTGTCTTCCTCTTCGAATAGTTCTTCCAACTTGCGTAACTTGCGTAACTTGCGTAACTTGCGTAACTTACGTAAAAAACGTGACGTAAGTCGTGCTCCCCAGAGCCGGCGCTCTAGGCTCTGGTGCTGCGGGAATCGAAAAAAGAATCGTTCAGTGAGCTGCCAAACGATGCCATGGAATCAGAAAATACGGAACCGGTTCTTAACAGGAACCGGTTTTCGATTCCCATCCCTAATCCTAGGAGTGTTTTCCTTTTAGACTCCCTCAGCTTTTCTCTGCTTCAGTTCATGTCATTTTATTGGCATAGGAATTTAATCTCAGTTCAACTCAATTCAAAATACATAATTAACCTCATTGAAACATCGCAGGTGCAAAAATTTATATTATTAACCTAATTTATGCTGTTTTTGGTCCAACAATTTTTTTTTTCCTCTCACAATTCCTTTTAATATAGTAATTGTGATATTATTTTTTTTAAATATTTCGGTAAATATTGATTACAGAGTTTTTCATTCACTGACATTCAGGCATTATGTCTTTAGTTTTCTCAAGCAAATATTTATGAAATATTATTTAGTTTTTAAACTTGACAAATGGTCCTCATAGGTTGTAAAGGCATCTTATGTGGACATTGTTGGCAGTTTTTCAAAAGGGTTTTATTGTGTTTATATTAGTATGGTAATTGTATTATAACAAGCACAATGAAGAAAGATATGCTATCATCAGCCCTAGATTATTCCCATTGGTTGCTACAATATTACATCCTTCCTCTGCATAAATAGATGATAGCTGCTCCTGTCTGGCTCTCATTTCTGAACTGGAACTGAATGACCATCACAACAGGACGTTTCTTTTCTGATCTTCTCAATCAAACCTTCACTTAGCCAAAGGGCTTCTTTACTTGAAGCTAAATGAAGCTCTTGTCTAATTGGACGAACACCTCCTCCCTGTGCGTCATTCACACACACACCACCCAGCAAGCCTTTACACATGTTGTTACATCATATATCATGGTGCTAAATGAAGCGCCTTAGGTAATCCGTCTTCCAAATTAGTTTTCATTACACTTAAGAGACTTGTATGGTGAATGCGTGTTTATTTGTAGGAATGTTATAAAACTCTGAGACTGTGGATTTAGATAGCTTTTTCTTTCATTATTCACTCCTGGGATTAATTCAATACAATCCGACAGATTAGTTTTCATCAATACAAAAAAACTCTTCATGCCTTCTGATATTTTACAACTGGTTATGATAGAGCCACAAATTTATGACAGATTCATGACATTTTATAAATGTAAATTAATAAATACATGTAAAAATAAATGGTTACAGCTCGTAAGCCTTTGGACTCTACCAGCTTTAAACATCATAAACCTGGTAGCTTTTTTTAGTTCTTCTTTGTTAGATTGTTCAAACCAAGTCAGATTGGATGGAGGCTCTCTGTGAACCATCCAAACAGGAGGTCTAAACCATTCCTCTGTAGTTTTTATGACTGTTCTGTTGGAAAGTGAGCCTTGTCTCCAAGATTTAAGCTTTTCCAGCCTCTATAAGGTTTTATTTTTAATTTTTCGCCCATTGCTCCATCCATCTCCCTATCATCTCTGACCAACTGAAAGATAAGTGGTGGACATAGCCAACAGATCTGTAAACAGATTCTGTTTTCACTGCTTTCATGTTTTGTTAGAGGCCATAAACTAGCTTTTTCTTTCAGGGATAAATCTTTAACTTTTGATAAAAGTTTAGATTTTTTTTAATGATTATGGTAAATATATGGTCTGAGAGTGAACAGTTTGTGTGGACATTTAATAGAGATAGACCGACACATTGGCCAGCTGATATTTTTGTTCAAGCCAACACAACAATGTTAATAAACATTTATTTATTTTTTTATTAAGACTTGTGTAACATTTGATATCATTTTGCCATTTTTGTTGTGTAAACAGAGGAATGTGGGGGGGGGGGAAATCAGTTCCAAAAATCAGCCGCGTATATCAGTGATGGGTTTAGGCTGCTGTCCAAATGATCAGTATGAACCTTAAAAAAACAGTTTGACTGAATGTTTTGTTTTTCTTTCTTTGTTTTGGTACAACCCATATTCAGGCCATCTACAAGATGGTTTCCTCTGTAATGAAAATGCCAGAGGATGAATCCACACCTGAGAAACGCACAGATAAAATCTTCAGGCAGATGGACACAAATCGAGATGGTAAGACTCGCCTAGCATCCTGTCGTTACAAACAAACAGCTGAAACTTAGAAGTAAAAAAAACCATGTATTAACAAAGCTTTGTCTGTTTCAGGTAAACTGTCCCTGGAGGAGTTTGTGGAGGGAGCGAAGAACGACCCGTCCATAGTGCGGCTGTTGCAGTGTGATCCCAGCAGTGCTGGGCAGTAGGAAACTGGACTGATACTTTAGCACATTTTTAAAATCTCTCCCATTCGACCCACCTGAGACTCTTTTGAAATGTAATACTTTGACCTATAGAGGCACATGAACACTCACTATACTGAAACAGGATATACTTACATATACATGTAATCTTTCAAACAACCCGATGCACACACTGTTCACAGGCCTCTATGTTTGGTCAAAGGTTCTGCACAAACACGAGTCTGATCCACGGTACAGATTTGACTTGAAGGACTGACATACCATCAAAGACTCACTGGGAAGAAAAAAGCTCTCCCTGTGCAGTGAGAGCAGCTGGGTAGGCGATGAACGAGGTACGCTGAAACAATCCTGGTTTGTTTTTATCCTTTTTTTTATTTTTAAAGAGAAGAATGCTGGTTTTATCCGTGCAGCCGACATGACAAACAGATCCTTACCAAGTATTGCTTTAGCTCACTGTCAACACTGGCATAAAAAAAAAGAATGAAGCATGTCAGTCTGGGACTACAGAGGAGTTATTTAAACAGACAATCTGGAGATTGTTGTTTAAATAAGGAGTTTATTATTTTTTTATTGTACTGTATTACTTTTGAAAGAATGTTACGAAACAACCAAAACTGACTTGGATATTTCTGAATGAAGTTGAATTGTCGTGACCACAGATTATACGCATGTGGATTCTGGAAAGTGAACTCCCCTTACATTTGGGATGTGCATAAAATGAGCTGTGATTGCATGCATGCAACCGCAGTTCAAATGGAATGACAAAGCAGATATGAATATAAATAGTATGTTTTTATTTTATTCTGAAATTACTGCAGCGTTTTGTTGCAGCGTAAAGATTTAACTTTAAAGTTTTCAAAATACTGAAATGTGACGACAGATGTTTGGATTTCTTTTACTGACAATTGTGAGAAAACCTGTACAATCACTCGTATGTATACTAGACATATTTTAAGCAAAAGGAGAGGATTGCACATGTTTTGTTTTTTTCAATGCATTTGACTTTTCCTACTATTAGTTTAAAGTAACCTAATTTTCCCCATTCAGAAACAAGATGTCAGCAGATTTAAGTCTAAAGCCGTCCGCACTCTTTTCATTAAAGGAGGGTCTGCCAGGATATTTTCTGTTCAAGAAAAAAACAAATGTTCTGTTTAAGTGACAATGTTCTGGTTTGTATTTTTCCTCTGAGTAACACTGTAAGAACAGCAGTTTGTTTTTTCGCTTCTAAACACAGACTGGAAGTCGTTTGCAGGAGCAGATCTCTCTACTTCTATCAGGATTCATTATACTCCACTCTGCCCTGCTGAGCAGAGATACAGTTGTATTCACAGGTGTATAAATGTAATAGTTGGGCTAAACTATTTAAAGAAAAGAAAAAAAAAAGAACTGTGATTCAAACTTCTGCTCCTTTCTGTTAGACAATCAGGTACTTCCACTCCTTTATTTAATTTCAATTGCAACCTGTGGTCAAGTGCCAAATATAGAATTAAATGAAAGGAATAAAAGCACAGTATTGTATCCATTTATCCTGTACAGTTAACTGTCGAACAAAAAGTAAAAAAAAAAAAAACATTGTATAATTGTGTAGATTTTGTATTGTTAAACTGCATTATGTAATTCTATGTAGAATGTCCATTTTGTTCAAATAAAAGCAAAGTGGAGGAATAAAAATATTTTCATTTCCTCTTTAATTCTAAGGTATAATGTTTAGAAAAAGGAAAACAGTTAATTGATTTCTAAACTTGAAACTCATCCAATGCCATTAAGAACTTATTTTATAATGGGGAAAAAAATCGCCCAAGACCTACCTGAACCTGATGACTCATCTGTCCCTAAACCTGAAAAAAAGGTAAGTGATATCTGCCATATTTATTTCTTTTTTTCACTTTAGAGAAATATTTATCCACTCGTTTGAATTCAGCATCATTAAGCTGTATTTTTTTCCTCTTATGCTTTCTGTCTCTGTTCTGCTAAATAAAGGCACTTTGACATAATTCATGGATAAACCAATTACATCCAAAGAAGAAAAACAGCACCATGTTATTAAACTACCACCACCATGTCCCGCTGTTATACCGCGGTACTTTTACACCAGATGTCACTACTCTTACATCTTCCACAGAGTGCAGCTGTTATCTTGTCAGACCACAGTGTTTTCTAAGACTGTGTTTTCCAACCTTTTTTGACTCGTGTACCCATTTGGGCATTTTGTCTTACCAGGAGTACCCCTCTCAGTCAAAAGTATCAGTGATTGTCCAAAAGTGGAATGTACAATAACTGAAATAAAGACTATTTCGAGACAAATCTCTTTGAGAAGTAGAACAGAGAGATACACAAGATCTTTTGTCCTGGCCTCAATTAGACAGTTTAATGCCTCTTGAAGGACTGAGTTTTTTATTATAATTAATATTTTTTAATGTAATTTTGTGTATCCTATTTTATATGTTTTTATCTTTGCTATTGAGCAGGTAAATTTCCTATCTATCGATCTATCATTCTATCTATCTTAATCATTTAATTTGTATAATTATATGCTTTCCACCTCAAATGAAAAAAAAAACATCAATATGTTGCCTTGAAGTTGGTAAAAATCGAAATAAATACAAAATAAAATAATTTTATACACCTGTTTTTATAAAACTGAAGCTCCTTGGAGTAACTCCCTTATCACTTTTAAACTTGATAAATTGGAAACAAAATACAGAATAAAATTATATTCAGACTGACTTAATCCGTTTTAAACATATAAGAACATTTATGTTTTGGCTGAAAAATGCTTGTTTAATTTTTCAATTGGGTCCTTACAAAGCAAAACAGAGACCAAGCCCTATTTTATTTTTCAACCTAAGAAATAAAATATTTTATTGCCTCCCTTGCAATGCACTCACGGACCACTAGGGGTACCTGTACGCCTGTGGGGCAACAGTGGCTTCGGGTTTAGGAGTTTGCCCTGAAACCGAAGGGTTGACAATTTAAACACCGGCTTCAGCTTTCACCTGCATTGCCTACTGATGGTGGTCAGAGGGCCCGGTGGCACCAGTGTATGGCAGCCTCGCTTTTGACAGTGAGCCCCAGGGCAGCTGTGGCTACAATGTAGCTTGCCACTATCAGTGTGTGTGTGTGTGTGAATGTAGTGTAAAGCGCTTTGAACTCTCCTGACGTGAAAAAGCGCAATATAAGTACAGGCCATTTACCCCGGTTGGGAAACGCTATTCTAAGGAATCTTGAGGATCATCAGGAGGCCTGTGTTCCGTTCAGTCTGTACACGAGGCTTGTAGCGCTTTAGGTGTTCTGGATTATCATGATAAAGATATAGTGGAGGATGTTCTTTTTCTGGGTGGATCATCCAAATAAGTGGTCCTCCTAATTGTCAATCATTCTGGTGATATATTTACCTAAGGCCATCCTACGTCCTGTCCCCATTTTTAACTTAGCAGTGGTGAGTCTGACATAGTTGAAAAATTTACAATTTTCTTTGCAAAGTGAGCTTGTATGAGCGATGCAAACTGCAACTTTTAAATAGAGCGTATACGAGTAGAAACGGGCTCCTGCATGCTCTTGCACACATTTAATAGGTGTTCCCTCTCGGGAGCGGGTACGGGGTTGTGCATGTGCATTTTTTTTTAAGTGGAGAGGTGGGTCTTATCAAAAATTCGTGAAAATCCTCCATTATACCTTTAAGCTTTTAGGAAGGTTCCCTACTGACAAATATTTTAATCATCTGTTGGTAATGGCTCTCACTATTAGGATATGATGGTCAGTTGAACAAAATTTTAAGTTTATGGTTGGGCAGGGTTATGTTTTTAAATAGGAAAAGATTTGGATAAATCCCCCAATAAATAAAAAGCCAAAACAGAAAAAAATCTGCACTTTTTCAAAGCACTTTATCAGTAGAAATTTGTTATATTTTAATTGATTTTTCGATAAATCATAACTGTTTATTATATTATTACGGTAAACTTCTTAAGTACTTGACATATAAGTTACAGATTGGCTCCATTCACACAAATGAAATATTTTATTAGTATTTGTTTTAAGAAAATTCATTTAGAATCATGATTTTTAGAGAAGTCTATTTGAAATTCTTGGGTCAAGTGATAATGAAATATGAAACAAAATTAATAAATAATAAAACTAACAAAAAGACAAATACGACACATTATGGCATGCAAATAAGTGGCTAGGTTATACTTGAAATCAACTAAGTAAAGCCGCGACTACATACAGCACATTATTCTTTATGTGGCTGTTTCTGATCTGTTATTTGGCAAAAAAAAAAAAAAAAAAAAACCCCGTCTGTACATAATCGATTTTTACAAAGTTTATACAGTATAAAGATTCAGTAAACTGAAGTTTGTGGGTATGGAGTCCAGCATTTCTTCTAACCATCAGTTCACCAGAGTGTCCTTTATTTATCATCCTGCGTAAGAAATCAGAACTGCTTCATAGAGGTAAGTATGGGTATCATGAGAGTCGGCGCCATCTTCAAAGGCGGATTCCTCCGAAGAGCGGTTTATAGTCCAGCAAATGATCGGTTTATCCAGCAGTCTCAGAGATCTGAAGACAGACTGTCAGATCTCTGTTAGGATGATCTTGTAGGCTTCTGCACAGTTCTCGATGTTGAGGACAAAAGTGTCTTCGTTGGAGTAGTGCTCGATGATGTTGTCGTCCATGTTCACCAAGATTCTGTCCCCAAAAATATAAATAAATAATTTTATTTTCAGGTAAACTGACCTTTTAAAAAAATATTTTTATTTTATTAACATAGTTTTCAATTTTGGATGCCTTTATTTCTAAATATCTGTACACTTTATTTTGAAATCTTAATGTTATTTTTAATTACAACTTTAGTTATGTTATTGCTGTTGAAACCTTTTTGTTAAAGGTAATATTTAGAATAGCCTTTAGTTAATAGGCCTTTTGGTTTGAAAGAATATATGTACTTTATAGTGACTGCCCCGTTTTTTTATTTTTAACCTTATCTTGCTGATGCATAGAGTAGCCAAGGTTACCATGCTGATTGCTTTTTTCCTTGGCATCATGTGGCCGACACATGATGTTAAACTGGCTGAATAAAACTGGTGCTGTTAAAAATCATTGATTGGGAAAGTTATTTATTACCTTAAATAACAGCACTACTTGATGCTTGATTGTGGTGATTTTCATATTTTACAATCAACTGTTTTTTTTTTTTTTTATGTTGTTGTTTTTTGCAGCTAAGCGGTATAACCTGCATCTATGAGGCACTATTTTAATATTACTGTGCAACTTTTAATTTTTTATATTTGTGTCAGTACTGCCCTCTTTTGGTTGAGCAGTAGCTTTTACACTTTCTAATTTGTTCAAATGATACATGCTTAGCTCATTATAGCCCCAACAGTTGTAGCAAATCTGGAAGTCAAAGTAAAAGCATGTAAATAATTGGATTTGAACGACTGACTGCCTACAGTTACAAAAATTGAGCTTGGTACAGTTGTGGAAGTCAACATAGCAAGGCTTTAATGTTAGGGGTATATGGATCAGTTTAGCTCCATATTTAATCCCATGAGATTAGTAGTTTTTTTTTTTTTATTACATCATCATACTTAGTAGAAATAATACCAGACATAACATGACACATCTCCGTTTGTATTTAGACTTTCAGTACAATTCTTAGCAGGTCTAATCAACATTTAGGACCTAAATTATTCCAACCTCTGGCAGATTTTGGTTTGAAATTATTTTTAATTAAACGAAATGAGATGGGAACTGGAAAGATTAATTTTTATGTGGATACTGAAAGCAGACCTCCACACTAAAAGATGGAGGAAATGGACCTGACTATTTAGAAATAATGCTCTAATTAGTCTAATCACTTAAGCTAATCAGTAAATTGTCCCATAACAGTATGTATCTATGTCTATAGCTCTTTGAGACCAACCACCGCTTACAATTTCCGACAATGTTTTGTTCTTTTCTCAAGACTGAAAACTCAACAAAATCAGAGTATTAAAAAAAAGAACAAAAGGAGGCTGGCATCTCTCAAGACAATAAAAAAGGTTAAAGATCAAATGTATACATTTAAAAAAAATAAAAAAATGTTTATCTAAATGTTAAACAAGCTGAGATATAGAGAGCTAAGATCATTTCTATAATAATAATAATAATAATAATAATGAATTTTATTTATAACGCACTTTACATTTGACTTCAAATCTCAAAGTGCTACAAAGTGCTACATTTAAAAAAAGGGAAAATTAAAACAAGTTTAATTAAAACAAGTTTAGTTTATTGTGATGGCCACGTTGATACGAATTTTTATTAATATTAATATAACTTATAATGTAATCATTATTACTTTTATTATGATTGTAATCAATGTTACCATAATCACGATTGTCATTATTACAATCATTAGTACATTATTATTATTATTATTATTATTATTATTATAATACTGTCAATATCATAACCATTGTCACTATAACTATGATTATTACTATTATCAGGATGGTTCTTATTATCAACGGTAATTTTCAATGTCATTACCACAAATTTAAAACTGGAATTTTGTCAATATAAACAGTAATATAAATTTTCAACTCCACTTTCAGACTTAGACTCTCATTAATTA